GAATTATCTGTGTTTCAGTAGCGACTTGTTCTATAACTTCCGAAGTTACACTGATTTGTGGAACATTGCTAGAAGTGGTGACTATATCTGGCCATAACTTTTTCCAAGACGATTTAATAGTTGATGACGGTAACGCATGCTACGACTGACAAAGAGCAAAAATCAAGTCTTTCATATTAAATTCTTTTAAAGTTTTTTCTATTGGTTGGTCTTTTGATACGGCTCTCAGAAGTAGGTTTTTCTTATTGTCTTGCTTGACAAACTGAATGATATTCTGGTCCATTAGTTGATCCAGTGCAGTGCAATTTGGCGGAAGAAACATCGCAGTGATGCATTTATCCTCAGTTGTTAGTTCTTCTTCAGACGGATGACCGGGAGCGTTATCAAGAAGTAACAACACTTTTTGAGGAAAATTATGATCTGTTAACCATTTTCTAACTTCAGGTACGAAGCATTCATCAAACCACTTTTTGAAAAGGTATTTTGTCATCCATGCACTTTTTTGTCCGTAACAGTGTACAAGGTAAATCAATGTTTTTGAATGTCCGCCGTTTATTAGATTTCCCAATGACCATCATCTTAAGCGCGTGTGTGCCCGCAGCGTTAGCACGTGGTAGTATGGCCACACGCTCTTTACTTACTTTTCGTCCAGGTACCGATTATTTGTTACAAGAAACGAAAGTTTTGTTAGGAATCACACGCCAAAAAAGCCCTGATTCGTCTGCATTGTACACCTGTGACGGGTCAAGATTTAAATCGTTCACCTTTTGCAAAAATCTTAATTTAAAGGGCTCTATGCAGGTGGCATCGTTAGAAAGTTTCTCTCCTGTAATAGTCATTAAACGTATGCCATGACGACTTTTAAAACGTTCTAGCCATCCTTTGCTGGCCACAAAATCATCTTTTTTGTTATTTCCTTATAAAAAACTTAGCTTTCATGGCCAACATGGGTCCTGAAATTGGTGCATGCCATTTCTTTCCTGAAGAAGCTACATGTACAAAGCTTACTGTGTGACTGTCACCAACACAAACTTCGAATCGGGCCTCATCACTCCATTGTAATGCACACCATTGTTGAGGTGTCCATTGTCTATGTTCTTTAGTCGATCTAAGCCGATTTTTCTTTTGCAGTGGAGTTAATAGTGGCTTTTCTTTGGCCTATAAACAAGTTGTGCAACTTTAGAGTTTTTACTTCACTTTTTTTTATAAGAAAACTTACCTTGCAAGTGCTAAATCCCTGTTTGTGGGCCTCTCTATGAGTTGTGGACCTCAAAATTCTCCTTCCAACAGCGTCACTCCACAGAGCACTTAATTGTAAATAATTGGCACGCCTGTTTTTCACGATTATTCTTCTTAATGCTTTTCGGTCGGCATTTGTGATATTACTTTTTTTCACATATCGTGGCTTAATATTAACTGAACCAGTTACTTTATATCTTCTAACAATATTTCTCACAATGTACCGCGATAAGTCTAACAAACTTGCAATTTCTGAGTTTGATTACCCAGAATTAAAAAAATTAATTATCAGTAACCGAATTTTCTCAATAATAACCTTTCCTCTACCCATTTTGAAAACCTTAACTACCCAAAACTATTTTAAACGTATTCTGACAGCTGTGATTAATAAAAACAATTGTCATTGCTTTTGTTTTTCACAGCCACCTATGCATTATAGACTTATTTTAAAATAGGTTAATATGCTTTAATTGCAACATGTGTTATTTTTATGCTGCAAATTTGATCAGGGAGTGATAAAGTTGGTGTGTTCTTCTATATATTATCAAAATATTCATTGTTAATATTTTAAACCTATAACACTGTGCTACATTTTTATTATTTGTGTTTGATAAGAAAAAAACTAAGATTTCAATAGTTGGGCCAACTGAAGTATAAATCCTCAAAAAGCTCAAATTCTTCTCACTAAAAATTCGACGTCTGAACCAGGATCTGCCAGGCAAGCAGTAAATCGTGAGAGCATTTTTAGTTATTAGCTGTTATTATTGAATTATTTGAAATATTTGAATATATTCATATTTATATATTCATTTTTGCATATGAGTGGTTCAATTATCTAACAAAGCCTTCTGCTAGCAAAACACCTCTGAAGACATAACGAAGATCTCCTGCTAGAAATATTGCTACCGATAGAATAAAGAGAGGCTGAACATCATCTAAATGAATACGCCTAAAGAAGTAAAGTAAAATATTTGCAATTCAAGTAGCCCCGCTTAGAAAACAAACAGAATATGCAGCTGGATGAGTCATAAACAGCTGGATGAATAATTCATCATAATGTGCAGCAGTTACTCTCCAGCTTAATTACCCAAAGGACTGCTGTGCTAAGAAGCAAACTCAGAAGAATGTGAACAAACTGTTTCATTTTTGCTGATAGGGAAGTTTTTCGAACCTCAAACCGGCATCCGTATTACGTAGATCAAAATGTGACATATCTATTTTTAATGACTTTACTTAGGTTTGTAGTGCAATGAAATCATTGACTTTTAAGTGACGTATTACATAATGCGAACTCGGATCCAACAGCCAGCTTGCTGATTTTGATTTCACCTTCACGGTTATCGACCTTACACTCTGGATAGAGGATAGTTGCTAAGCTTTAGTTCGTTGTCCTACCTGAGCCCAAGCCTGTGCAATGCTGAAGAGTTGCAAAATAGCATGAAACAGCTGTCCGTGATTGGCCGTCTGTGGTAGAACAAACGAAATCTATAGGTATTACTAGTTTTAAAATGTATAGATGTTTTTTTAATGACAACTCACTTTCATGTCTAACAGGATGTCGCTTGTACCGCCTTGTATTCAGTTATCAATAACATCTTTGAGGTCCATTTCCCTAAATGTAAAAATAAAATGTTTTCGTATCCCCCCTGGTTCACACGTGAAATTATACTTAATATCAAGAAGGACATAGCAAGAAGGAACTGGAAACGTGACGGTACTAAGTTTTCTTATGATCAGTTCAGTAATTTTAGGAAGCTCATTAAAACCAGATCAGTGTTGCCTACTCCGCTTACGTCCAATCGGTTGAGGATGCCATTGTCAATGATCCTAGCAAATTCTGCTTATTTGCCCAGATCAAAAAACAGCAATCTAGAATCCCCCCAAGAATGACGCTTAACGGCAATGTCTGCGATACGCCTCAGGATATAGTGGACAGTTTTGCTACCTTCTTTTCAACATTTTTATCCCGTCTGGTCTACTAGGGTCATCTCTTCCAACAAATAATTCTACCGATATCATTTCTTTAAAAAATATAAGTGAAGAAAACGTAATTAGGGCTTCGAAAAGATTAAAGAACAAAATGACGTCTGGATATGATGGTATTCCAAGTTTTTTCGTTAAAGATTGCATTCATATACTAGCGAAACCGCTGACTTCCATATTCAACCTAATTCTAAAATCAGAGACATATCCAAATATCTGGAAGACCTCTAAAATATGTCCTATTCACAAAAGTGGAGATATCTCTGATATTTCCAACTATCGCCAAATAGCAATCCTGTGCAATTTCAGCAAGTTGTTTGAGATCATTGCTTATGAAACGGTTCACTGCTCGGTCAGGGATGCAGTCTCTATTAATCAGCATGGGTTTATGAGAGGCAGATCTACGGTCACCAACTTGGCTCTAATTACTCAGTACATTTCTGAAGTACTGGACGGTCAGGGACAAGTTGATGTCATCTACACAGATATTCAGAAGGCGTTTGATCAAGTTGATCATTATGCACTTATATATATATATATAAGCTTAAAACAGTAGGTATGTCTGATGCAATGCTGTCGCTCATAATTTCATATTTGAGGGATAGAAAGTTACTTGTCGAATATGGTGGTCATAGGTCGAGTTACTATCGGGCCACGTCTGGGGTACCTCAAGGGTCAAATCTAGGTCCATTATTGTTTTTAATATTTACTAATGACTTGTCTTTTGAACTGAAGTGTTTCCATTTGTTTTTCGCTGATGATCTTAAAATCTGCACTTCAGTCAAGACAGTCGAGGATTGGGTCATGTTGCAAGATGACTTAGCTCTAATTTCGTCATGGTGTTCACGAAACCGTCTCAGTCTGAATGTTTCGAAATGTAAAGTTATGACTTATACAACAAAAGTTAACTATTTAATTTATGATAATTATAACATCAATGGTCAGGTTATAGACAGATGCACCTCTTATAGAGACCTTGGAGTCATTTTTGATACCAAGCTAACGTTTACTGAGCATATTCTCAATATCTCGTCGGCTGCCACTCGACTACTTGGTTTCTGTATCAGAAACTGGAAGGATTTCTCTAATGTTGATACATTAATGACTTTATTTTTTACTTTTGTCAGGAGCAAGTTCGAGTATGCGACTCTGATCTGGTCTCCTATATACCAAAATTCTGTCGTGATGCTTGAGGCCATTCAACGTAAAGCTTTAAAGTATTTTCATCTTAAATGCACAGGTTCTTATCCAGAAAGAGGTTGTGACCATAGTGCCCTATTAGAGTTTTTCAATTTGGATTCACTGTCAACAAGACGAAACATATTTGCTTTGTCGTTTTTGTATGGCCTCATTCACAATAAAATTGACTGTCAAAATTTACTTGAAAAAATATGCTTCCGCGGTCCAAGGCTAGGGAGTCGACAACAAATGGCATTCTATTGTCAAACTGGCCGTACAAATGTTATGACAAAATCGCCAATTAATCTCATGTGCTGCGTCATGAATACAATACAATCTTATTTAGAATGTGTGATACTATAGATTTAAGTCCAAGAACCATGTCTCTTTAATTGTTATTTTTTTCAGCGTTTCCTGAAATTGGGTTTCACCTGTTGGAAATAAATAAATAAATAAATAAATAGAGGTTGAGCAGCCCGTAGTAAGTAGCGTCAAAATAAAAAGCAAACGAAATACAGGTAAATAGAATTAGAAATGAATTGTTGGCTATACCAATATTGGCATGATAAAAGCCAATCAGTTTCAATCAGTAAACTCACCTAACATCTTGACAACATGCCTGTTAGCCTGCGAGTTCCTGCTGATATTCTTCCTACCTTCTTCATCTTCTAACTTCAAACTGATGATATCTGTCTTCTCTGGAACTCCGTTTAATTCATCGGGGATTGCTATGGACGTTGAAGCTGGCTTGTAGATGCGATGGTTCATTTTTATGCTTCCATTCCTCGTATTCACTGATCTGTGAAGTTGTATCTAGAAAAAGATAAGACAATGATCATTCCTAGTAGCAGCGGTGGTGGTGGGGAGGCAAAGATTGGAAAGTATGACAACTTTGGTCCTTTTTGCCACATGTCTCCGAATATATCTACCCTTAGATTGGAATGTACAGGGCAAAAGCCTAAAAAGTGGAACGCTGTCTTGTTTTCCTCTCAGCACGTGGAACAGATAGAATTTCTGTCCATACGTAGGAGGATAAGTGACTACGGTTTACAGGTGTCTCTCGTCACACGTTTCCCAAGTCCCTAAGTGCCCATTAGAGTTGTGGCGTTCCGAACAAGAAGTCATCATTTTGATTTTGACAACAAAAATTAAGAGCGCATAAACAATACTTATACACTGTGGATTTATGTTTCAAGCAGGTATTCCCTGATCAAAAATGTCAAAACAGAAAATGCAATTTCTCCTATTTTCGCTATTTTCCGGGAAACAAATCACAATTTTGATTATGGAACCTAAAAGGATAGACAGAAATATGCGTTGAGCTTCTGATTGAGATAACTTATGGCATCCTACGTTTAAAGTGTCAAAAATTGTAGAAAATCGGTGCAAATGCGGTTGTTCTGATTTTTTCCAAAAAATTCATGATTTCCTCAATAAATCACAAGATAGTAATGATATACAGTGTTCTTTTTTAATTGTGAAATTCTCATTAGCTAGTCAAAAAAAAAACAAAAAGAAATTCAAATATTTCACGTGCCACAAGTCTATCAAAAATCACTATTATTTAGATTATAACAATATACATACCATCGTTTCTTTATTAAATGCATTTATTACCCAATACCTTTCAATTTGAATCGATCCAGATTTGGATACCTTTGGGGCAATTTTCATGTGTTGTCTATAACCTTGTCAGTTTTCACACCAAGAATTTCAAAAAGTTTCTTTGAAATTTTATAGCCTAAGGTTCATGCTGAAAATTTTTCAGATGTTTCTATAATGATTTTCAGATTTTCATATCAATTTGAAAAACAAGATGGTTATCTTCCTTCAAATTTAGAGATAAGTCCTTCAAGTTTCATCTTATCGATTTTACAAACATTTCAATATAGTCTAATATAAAAAATAATCCCATTTGTTCCAAATATCAGGCGACTTTAGAAATTATGACCAAATTCAGGTGCAAAAAAAATAAATTGCAGCGTACCCGAAATCTTAGGATTGAAATAAACTTATAGTATATTATAAAGAAAAAGTTACTTCAAGCTTCCAGCATACTATTTAGGGAACGGTATTTCTGCATAGAGATGAAGCTATAATTCACTCAAGAATTCGGGAGAGTGAGCGAAACGTGGTCTCTAGCAGAAAAGACATCAAATTACAAAACATTTCCCTCGATAACAAATAGGCATATGCGATGAGCCCACTTGACACAAGACAATTATAAGAGATATATTGCTTGTTTATTTCTTTTTCTTCTTCTGATATCTCCTACAAATGCTGTAAAAGGGGAAGAGGTCTAGCGCACGCGTTTTGAAAATGGTCATTACGAGTTCACTAATAGTATACTAGTAATAAAGATAATAATAAAAATAACGATTCGCTTGATGTACAACGTTTATATAGTCCCTAAAAGGACCATAAAAATGTTGATCCAATTAATGAAATTTTATTTACTGTGTTGCTAATATGTGTGTTAACTGGCACGTATATCAGGGTTTATTTCACTCCTATACAGTATGTTCAACGAAAATCCGAACGCTACATTGTAGGCATGGTTGCAAAAACCCATCATGTCAGCTACTCGATTGCTATAGATACAGTGGAGATACTGTCAGAAATATACTAAGTGACATATAAATCCGAACAGCCAGTTTAAATGGTTTTATTTTAATAAAATTTTGTATAAGTACTTAATGAAGCATAATAAGTAAATGATAAAAATTTCAAAATGATTGCACTGCTTTAAAGCCCTTTGACCTTTAATAATGTGTGGATGCACCCTGATGTGCTACGCATTCTCCAACGCGCCCAGCCATGCTTCTGATCAGGTGGTCAATGTCCTCCTGTGGTATCTCATTCCAGGCAACCACCAACTCCTCTCGAAGTGCTTCTAGAGTCTGAGGAGGACGTTGCAAATTGAGCAATCTCCTACCCATCATATCCCACACGTGCTCAATTGGGGATAAGTCGGGAGATCTTGGTGGCCATGGTAACAATGTGACATCATTATGTTGAAAGAAGTCTATTGTGACTCTTGCAACATGTGGTCGGGCATTATCTTGTTGGAAAGTTGGATCTGCCAGGGTGTCAAAATAGGATAAAAGATGGGGTTCATGTTACCTCTGATGAAGATTAAAGGTGACCTGGAACCATAAGCTATAGCACCCCAAACCATAACTCCAACGGTGTGATGAACATGTCTTTCAACAAAAAACTGTGGATTCCTCCTTTCACCACGTCGCCTTCTAACCCTGGCACGACCATCGTGCATGCCTAAACAAAATCGAGACTCGTCACTAAAGACAATGCTGTTCCATTCCTGATCCCAGAGTGACCGTTGTCTGCACCACTAAAGGCGATTACGTCGGTGTTCTCGAGTTAAAGGGAGGACCCAGTGTGGCCGGTATGAAAACAAGCCAAAACTTCTCATTCGTCGGTGAACACTTCGCATGCCAATAGGTCTTCCGTGTTCTGCAAACCATTCATTTGCAATGGACCTGGTAGTGGAGAAACGGTCCCTTAAGGCCAATAATCTTAGGCGGCGATCTTCACGGTCTGTTGTTCTACGGCGGCGTCCAGTGCCCCTTGCTCTTTGCGTACGGCCTTCTCGAAGCCATGCCTGACAACACCTAACCACAGTGTCTACACTTCTTTGCACTCTAACTGCAATTGCCCGAAAAGAAAGTCCAGCTTCCCGAAGTCCCACTATACGGCCCCTATCAAACTCACTATGTTGACGAAATCGTACAGGTCTAAGTACTCTAGGCATCGTAACCGATCGTAAAGGATGTCAAGAACCAAAATCCGCCAACGTTGATTCTTTACTGCGGCTGAAATATTCATTTTTAGAGCGTTAGTGAATTAAAAAAAAACAGTATAAAAACCGGAATGTCCAACTGATAAGGCTGAAAATTTTTTCACTTGTTATTTACAGTAAGATAAATACATTCACCAACTTTTATTAAAATAAAACCATTTAAACTGGGTGTTCGGATTTATATGTCACTTAGTACGTTATAATTCATTCGACCATTATTTTGATGAGGTTTTCACAATAATAAAGATACCTAGGAGTAACCTGAATGTATCGGACGATTAAGGAAACCAGAGCCGGATTCGATTTATGTACAAAAAAGTGAAAAAATAGACTTTATTAATTGGATTTGTTTTGCGGACGAATTTTTTTATTTATCCTATCAGTTTGTCCCACAAAGCTCAAAACTTTCTACGCCATTATCTTTTTTTTGTTATATCCTTACCATATTTTAAGAGTACAGGCATTACTTCCCATTGATTTTCCAAGGCGTATGACTTTTTGACAGTGGTATCTTCAAAAAATTACACAAAATCCGCAACTTGAATCAATGATTCTGTTCACGTATGGGTAGGAATTATTGGCAGCCACTTTATTGGCCCATTCTTCTTGTCGGGCCGACTTGACGGACAGACTTACCTCAATTTTCTTCAACAATAATGTTCTGTTAGTAATAAGATACAATATGTGGTACACGCATGATGGTGCACCAGCGCATTTCAGTGTAGCTGTTCGTAATTATTTACAAACTGTTTATCCAAATCGTTGGATTGGCTGCGGTGGGCCTCAAGAATGGCCACCAAGGTGCCCAGACCTCAACAGTTTAGATTTCTTTTGGCGGTGCTATCTTAAGACACTAGAGTACACAAGTCCTATTAACACTGTAGAGGAATTAAGAAAGAGAATTTTTGTAATCATTTTGTTGGTTTTAATGATATGTTTATGTTGTCAGTTGTTGTTGTTTATTACCCCTAATGTGTTTAATTCTCCCAATTAAATTAATAATAATTAGATAATAGAACGGTTTTTAGTTTTTTTTTACTCAAAAATGGCGCATCGAAGGAAAGCAATTCAAGAGAGATTATTTGTTTTCAACTGAACGGGAAATTCAAAAATAATTTTTATTTGGCAAAAAACCATTGGCGTACCGTTTTTTTCTTAAAAAAATATCAAAGTCAATACCCGTACGCACGCCACTGTTGAAGCTAAAAATTATGATTGCATTGAAGAATATTCAACTTCAATAACTTTCACTACGTACTAAATATCAGTTTAATATCTGAGGCGGTTCTGAAAATATTAATTAATTTTCATTTTTTTTTCCTAAAACTTACACCCCGAGTTTTTATAACGAAACATTTTTGGACCATAGTTTATGAAGCAAACTTACATTAATTTTCCTTGTAGATTCACATACTTAAATATTCGCATATCATTAAGGAACACCCTGTATACAGATCATTTTTGTTTCTTTTTCTAGCACTATTTTGTTAAATTTCAAAGGAATCAGATTGGTAAAGTTTGAATGCCATGTCATGTTATATGAGAGAAATATAAGCTGTTTGACTAATTAAGGTTGTTTTCACTAAAAAATAAAAAAACACACATTTCGTGAGTTGATTAGTATCATTCTTTTCCTATTTTTGGATATCCAAACATTTTAATATATAGCTCAAAGAGTGCTTGTTGCTTTAGATAAAACAGCTCAGACAATTCGAGTCCAGCCTTAGTTTTGACTGTAATTGTAATTTATACTAACCCCAATCAGGATGTATAGCACAGTGATCATAGACATAGGCGCGACGAAAAACACGAACGTCGATATCTCGAAAGCGTGCGGCAACACTGTCCGTTTCGGCACACACAAGCAATGGTCAGTATGCATTTCGCCAGCGATCACTTCACACACGACCCCGAACGACATGGCCTGCGGTACGGCCAAGCAAAGGGCCATGACCCAAATGGCCACTATATGTCTGATGGCCCGCGATAGTTTACTCAGCGTGTGGGAGAGGAACGGATGACAGATGGCCACGTATCTGCAACAAGATGAAAAAATGATGGTGAGGACAGTAGGCTGTTTTTGGTTCAATACAATTTTTTTCATGCATGAACAGACACCGCTTATGGGACGTTGCTTCTGGCCAGGGTGAAGATCAGCTCAAGGTCAATTTTAGGTCAGATTTGGACGGAGCAACTCAGTATATTGTATGCAAGCTTATTAATCAAGCTCGACTCTGGGGTCAGTTTGCCCAAATCAGCCCGCTCTTGGATCTTCCATTGCTTTTTGCCCAAAAAATCTACTTACAGGCCTAGTAGATTTTGATCTCCTGGAATTTTCTCAATTTGATCTTGACATGACCTCTAATCGCCCTTAAATTACTTGTCACGGAGAAACAGTAGATTTTTGTTTCTGAATTTGACAAATTTGACCTATAAATGACCTCTAAGTGCCCATTAAATGCCTTGATACGGAGAAGCTGGTACCAGATTCGGATTCATGTTTTCTCGACATTTTTTTATTCGACCTTTAGATGACCTTTAGCGCCCTTCAAATGACCTGATATGCACAGACCCAAAACCTATAATCGTGACAGTTAAGTGCCTTACCCACTCTGTAACCTCCGGAATGTCACCTAAAGCTGAAATTGAACGGACCTTCACCACAGCCAGGAGATGATTTCATGGAGTCGTCTGTTGTCGGATCGTTTAGTGATTTCACATGACGAATGAAGCTTGGATTTTTTTTTGCATAAATTGTATGTGACATTTCCTTTATCTTCGCACATTAATAGAGGATGTTCGGTTTGATGACTGATATTACACTCCATTTGGAAAACATTCGTGTCCTTAATAAGCCTCGTCAATTAATAGAAATGTTCAACACCCTGTATCTTGGTGAGTTACATGTTCAAACCTACTTTATCAACACCTTGTATATTTACCTTTCCACGGTGAAGGCGGTGATTGTCAAAACCGTTGCATTGGCTGAAGTTTCTGCTGCAAAACCCTGCAAAGAAAGGCGTTTTTAATATATCCGATACATCTAAAGAACTTGCTGCAGAAAACTTCGCGTCTTTTCGAGATATAGTACGAATCCGGTACTATCTCAGAAAACTGTAAATTTGTTCATATCTATCCCATCACAAACAAGACAGATCCTTACAACTACAAACCTATAAATATACTAAATGACTTAGAAAATGCAACACCGACTAGGACTGCTGTAATTTTGAGCATACTTTTTTCAAAAGAGAGCTGACATCAGAGATTCAGCAAAAGAATTCAATGAGGAAGGATGTTCTCCAGATACTAGTTTCACAAATGGTATCAAATCATTATTAGCGATATACAGGGTGGCGCATCGAAAACGAATTAGACGCATTTACTGGCAGCTCAGTTTTTTTTATTTATTTGGAAAAACCCTCAGACCCGTCGATTTTGTTTTTAAGGGGGACACAAGTTTGGAAAAAAATCACGTTAACACGTGCAGCCCCCTGGGCGGGGGTGACACCAACCCTAAAATCTTAAATGGAAAGGAGGGTCGAGTGATACCTTATTTTAAAGCTCTTTCAATTCCCTTTATAATGATATAAAATTAATGTACTTCAGTTCAGTAGTTTTGAAGATTTATTGATTTAAAGCTTAAAGTAGACTTTAATAGGTACATCAGATTAGTTTGTACTACTTTCAGAAGAAATTTGACTAAAAGAATTTACTTAATAAGTAAATGCTTTTCTTCACTACGCCCATGGTTTGTTTATAATTTTGTTGTTGAAAATAGCTATTGGAGCATTTTTTTGTGGCAAAAAAGTTATTTCATGAAGAAAGATAAGGAAATATCTCGTACTTATTTTAAATAGGAATTTAATACATAGTTTGTGATTGATTTGACAAAACTTTGTTGCTAAAATAACTTGTAACGCTTTATTACATAAATTAACCATGGTATATTCCACAGCAGAAAGAGTTGAAATTATCGAAATATTTTTCGGAGCGACATGAGAACAGTAACGTGCATCGAAAATATGTTCTAGAACTTGTATCTAAATTTCGGGAAACCGGGTCAGTCGCCAATAAAAAACGCAACATTGAAAATCCCATAAGGAACGAAGCAATAGAAGTGGGGGTTTTAGGGCAAGTTTATGTAGATCCTACGTTAAGTACCCGCAAATTGGAGACTGTGTGTGGTGTTAGTCGACGTACTGTCCAACGGATTCTAAAGGCCCATACTTTTCATCCGTATAAAATTCACCTGGTACAAGAACTTAATGAAGACGATTTTGATCGGCGATTACAATTTTGTGAAGATATGAGTGAACGAATTATAAACGATGAACATTTTCTATTCAACACTTGCTTTTCCGACGAATTTATCATGAGGTTCATACACAGCAGCCACAAAAATTAAATGTTTGTGCTGGCATTTTTGGCGTTCATTTAGTTGGTGCTTTTTACCTGGAAATTTGACCGGTGAAATGTATTTGGAATTACTGGAAGACGCCATAGATCCTGCATTAACAGCCATAGTTGAAAATCAGAATGATCGGCGGCACATTGCGAATAGGTTGATGTTCCAACAGGATGGTGCCCCACCACATTACGCATTACGTGTTCGACAATATTTAGATCTGACGTTTCCAGATCGATGGATTGGTAGAGGAGGTGCCATTGAATGGCCCTCAAGATCTCCAGATTTATCACCTTTGGATTTCTTTATGTGGGGTCATTTAAAAAGCAAAATCCATGCTACTCAGCCAACATCATTAGAAGACCTGCGACAAAGAATTGTGAATGAGTGCGTTCAAATTACTCCTCAAATATTGCAAAATGTGGGGCAACGTTTTGATCAAAATCTTTATTATTGCATGGAGAGTCATGGTGGTCATTTTCAACATTTACTTGCCTAACGGGTCAGTTCATTCTTCATTTTTAAGTTACTTTGCTGCCATATGTATTGATCTCCACTAATGATGATGTATTAGTTTTAAAGTAAATCAATAAATCTTCAAAACTACTAAACTGAATTACAATTTTATATCATTATGAACGGAATTGAAGGTCCTTTAAAATAAGGCATCACTCGACCCCCCTGTCCATTTAAGATTTTGGGGGTGGTGTCACCCCCGCTTAGGGGGCTGCACGTGCTAACGTGATTTTTTGCCAAACTTGTGTCCCCCTTGAAAACAAAATCGACGGGTCTGAGCGTTTTTTAAAAAAAAAACTGGGCTACCAGTAAATGCGTCTGTTTCGTTTTCGATGCGCCACCCTGTATGGTGCTCCACCGCGCGAACAATCCCTTGACCATCATCGATATCACTGCTTCGCGAAATCGAGAAGGTATGATAAAATCTGTTAAGCTTTCAATGCTGCCACCAACATCGAGTGTCTTGTGTGTTATCAATTCAAGAAATGGCATAGCAAGAATTTGGATCCATTGGATTGGGGATCGACTATGACCGACGAATATTTACAGCCAATACAAACTCTATTCCCACCTGCTCCTGATGTCTAATTAAAAAGATTCCTTTGTAATTGTACGAAAGGTTGTGGAGCTAATTGCGGATGTAGGAAACTTGGCCTACACTGTTCCGCCATTTGCGGCTACTGTCATAGACAGTCTTGTCTGAATATGATCTCGAACAATGAAGAGCCGAATAATGTGGAATTCGATTAGAATATAGACCCCATGAATTTCCTACACTTAACATTTGAGGTTGGCGAAGACTTGGATGATACCGCATCATGTCACAATGATGACTAAGGAAAAAAGGAACAATAACATAATTTTCTCATTCATTCATCTTCGTGGACTAGGCTTGGAGAGCCCACATGGAAAAAAACGCGCCTGCTACTTTACTTCTATGGTGACGTGGAAAAAAGTAGGTTATCATACAATTTCCTCATGTTCAACATTGAAAGTAAATTTTCTTTGAAAAAAAATGCATAGAACCTTTTTTGTGGAGAATTTCAGACTGAACAAGAAAGGTAAAGCTCATTTTCTCGTAGAATTGATATTTTCGAAGATATATGGAAAAAAGTGTTTTTGTGACCTTTGACCCCCCCCATAAGGAAAGCTCCACTTGGATTCATGGGGACTTTTGACGGATGATTTATAATTTATCCAGGTGGGATTTTTGCAGCAAAGAAAGTCTAATAGTCCTGGACTAATATACCGTTTGATAGAATATTGGACTTTGCGCAAAAGAAAAAAATCGCCCTTTGGTCTCTTGATATAATTTGTTACAGGCCCCGCGCTGGCTTAATCCGGCATTCACTGTTGCACCAACAAACAAGAACCGTCGTTTATCCATGGAAAGGAAGCGCGTCGTCCGATTCGATGCGGCGAATAATGATTGACGGAAATGAGGAAATCCAGAAAAATTCCGCACGTAAAGTGACGTATTTTCGGGCCGGTCGATTGCCAAACGAAAGGGGATAAGAGACAACAGACTTCCGGTAGATAAAATCGGCCGTTGGTATGTAACGACTGTGACAGACTAGAAGACCCGAAAGTTTTATTAGCTACTTGTTTTTGCTATGTAATTGCTTGCAAGACTGAGCTTAATTACAGACATGTAGGTACAAGGTGTTCCAAAAAATCTCGATGATTTTTTGCAGAATAATGTTGAATTTAATTATCTTACGAAGCAGCTTCAATAGAGGGTCCTGTGACCTGTTTGAGATTAGAAAAAAAATGATTTTCGAAAGTAGGATTCTGTTTTGAAACTAAGCATCCTATTATGTCTTGACCTGCCCATTCCACACGGTGCGCTAAACCCAAGTCAAATTAATGATATCAATGAAGTAGATGATTCATCAAAATAATGAGAATCCTACACAAGAAAATTGAAAAAAGTTTACTAATTCTCAATATCGGCATTTCAGAGACTATTTCAAGAATATTTTTTCAATTTTGTCTACATGCATTATTGTATATTGTCTATCTTTTATTAGCTTATAGCCATTTCCGATATCTCTGTTCCACGTCCTCTGGAATCGCTAATATAGTTGCCAGATTCATTTTTATTCTATTTGGATTTTGGTGTCTCAGCCTAAAAATGTTTTTCTATTTAACTCTAAAAACAAAATTAGTGAGATCGAGGAACGATAACTTTCGGTCAAACTTTTAATTTCAAAGTTAATACGGAAAACATGTGTGGATTTCAAAACCCAAGTCTTATTCGACAAATAAAACACTGCTATCGGATAAGAAAAAAATTCAAATCCGTAGCATCGACGCTTCTTGCGGTTTCTGCGACCCCGATACAGATCTATGTCTTTGAAAATTGCAGTGTCGGTCAGACTTTGCTCGTAAAATTGGCGGACGACGAGTTGCTATCAAGATCACAGAAGCGCGAAGAGGTATATGCATGGTACTGTGCTTAGGCTGTGATGCTGACGCGAAATTTTGATCTTTTGCATCCACAGTCCTAGTCGTTTCTGCAATCCTGATACAGATCTATACGCCTCTGAATATCGCACTGACCACCACAGCTTTTTCGTAAAATCGGTAGTTTGGAGACGTCTTATCACGTTCACTGAAACGCGAGAAGGTATGCAAATGGTAATCTGCTCCTGCTACTAGATAAACACGAAATTTAAATCCATAGCAGTTACTTTTTGTCATTTCTGCGATTCTGATACAGATCTATAGGCTACTGAAAATGACACTGGAGGTATACAAATGATACTCGGCTCCTGTTTCTGAAAATTACACAGTCGACCAGAATTATCTCGTAAAATTGATGGTCGATGACTTGCCATCAGAATCACAGAAACGCGAGAAGGAAGGTGAATGGTCATCCGCTTATGCTATGATGTTGACGCAAAATTTTGATCTTTTCCATCTACGCCTTCTGCAATCCTGATGAAGATACTATACGTTTCTGAATATCGCACTGACAATCACAGTTTCTTCGTAAAATTTATAGTAGCGAGGAGGTATGCAAATGATACTCTGCTCCTGTTATTAGATATACACGAAATTGAAATCCGTAGCATCGATACATCTTGCTGTTTCTGCGATCCTGATACAGATCTACAGATCTCTAAATATCGCACTTGATGGACGGTGACTTACTATCAGGATCACAGAAACGCGAGGAGGTATATGAATAGTCCATCAATGATACTCGCGTGAAACTTTGATCCTTGGCATCTATGCTCCTCGTGGTTCCTGCGATCCTGATACACGTTTCTAACTATAGCACTGTAGACCAGACCTTTCTCGTAAAATTGGAGGACGACGAGTTGCTGTCAGGATCACAGAAATGCGAGAAGGTAGTTGAATGGTCATATGCCTATGCTATGATGACGCGCAATTTTGATCTTTTGCATCTACGCTTCTAGTCGTTTCTGCAATCCTGATACAGATACCATACGTTTCTGAATAACGCACAGTTTGTTCGTAAAATTGGTAGTGGCGAGGAGGTATGCAAATGATACTCTGCTCCTGCTATGAGATAAGAACGAAATTCAAGTCCGTAGCATCGATACCTGTTGCCGTTTCTGCGATCCTAATACAGATCTTCTACAGGTTTCTAAAAATCGCACTGGCGACCAGACTTTTCTCGTAAAATTGCTGGACGGTGACTTGCTATCAGGATCACAAAAACGCGAGGAGATATATGAATAGTCCATCTATGATACTCGCGTGAAACTTGGATCATTGGCATTTATGCGAATCGCGGTTCCTGCGATCCTGATACAGGTTTCTGAATATCGCACTGTCGACCAGACCTTTCTCGTAAAATTGGAGGTCGACGAGTTGCTGTCAGGATCACAGAAATGCGAGGAGGTATGCAAATGGTAACCTGCTCCTGTTTCTGAAAATCGCAGAGTCGACCAGGATTATCCCGTAAATTGATGAACACAGAAATGCTAGAATGTATGTGAATGGTCCTCTGCTTCTGCTATGATGTTGACGCGAAATTTTGATTTGCATCTACGCTACCAGTCGTTTCTGGAATCCTGATACAGATCTATACGTTTCGGAATATCGCACTAATGACCACAGCTTCTTCGTGAAACTTCGGAGCCCTCTAATGGACAACAAAGGACTTTTGCATAGAAGTAAACCATGACCAATCGACTTACTTTGAGTCTGAAAATACTTGGAACTTTATCTACACGGAATATTGTGATTAATATGTTGATATCTGTAACATACTAATCTTTAAGAAAAGTAGTGGAAAACCATTCCTCTTAAGGTTTCTTCCGCGTCTCATTGGAATAAAACACTTAAGATAATTAAAGGTATGTGAAAATAAATTATAATACATTTTATACTAGAACCTTAAATTGTGTTTTGGACAATTAAAGTGTTCAAAGAATATTCATTTCAACTGTAGATTTCGCCTTTCTGCCAAAGACTAAATCTGAAATGTCCAGTATTCCTCAATTGAGGTATAAAGTATAAGTATTGACTATATTTAATAATCCAATCATCCATTTTTCCAAGTTGCATGTTGCTGGAGCAGTTTCATATGTAGAGGATATTCGGAGGTTGTTACAGATATCTTCGAATACGTGTGCTTGTTCCATTCCGATTTTAATACAAAAAATATAAGATATATGTACCTACACATCCTGCTGTATTACATATTCCCATCCGAGTCTCGTTCTGTAATATTGTGTTCGATCAGTTCATCAAAGCAGATAATCCAATACTGGAAGGACAGACAACCATGATTGTCAACCCTGATAGAGAAACTGTGTTATAGTCCAGGTAATTTATCAGTAGTTAGTAATAAAGATGTGAACGGAAAAAAGTGTTCAAGTTTTATGGCACTCATCATTCAACAATCTGTATTTTCCATTATCTGTTTCGGCTCCGACATTCTCTCTGTTTCAAATTGATGATCTGAGCTGGGGAGAAGAAGATTACTGGCACTTTCTCTCTCTCTCCTCTGTCCAAATATAGATAGGTCTCCTTTTCTGCGTCTAACTCGGCCTCCACTGGACCGACTTTTAGAAATGTTTGTTGTATGTATGTTTGTGGTATAGCAGTAACCTGGAGGTAAAATTTTCTTCAAATTCCGACCAAGTAATGGATAGACACGCAGAGACAAACTGACGAAAAAACAATCTATGGCTTTACCATTTTTTCCAAAAGAAGGCTATTTTGCTTAGGCTATTAGTCGGCCTTATATAATCAATGATCGGCTGAAATTCGGAATGGGAGAAATCCAGGAAAATTGTATACCAGGAATGAAGTACCCCGGGTCTGTCATCAGGCATTAGGAACACGGGCTAACAGACGTCCCATCCGTCTATACAGACATTGATATATGATGACGATCACAAGATAGAACCAAAACTTTTATTAGATTTTTTTTGCTTCTTATTTATTGGCAATAAGGAGCTTACTTTCTTATATGCTTGGGAAGTAAATAAGGGAAATAGGCTAGTCAGAAACGATCCTTTGAAGTAGTATTGAACTTCTTAGGCATCCCACTGGGGCGAAACCTTCACATGGCGATCCAGAACAATGTCAATATTTCTAAGTACATCCACAAATCACAAAAAAGACCTTATAAACTTATGTACGAAAATATCTCTTTGTTAACCTGCACGAATATTTTTGAAGTATCGCTAGATTGAGGAAACTTCAGTAACTTCAGCGTATTTTCAAAGTACAACGGTTTTTATACAGATCTTACCTCAGGTATTCAATATTCAAACCGATTTTTCCCAAAATGCGTAATCTGACAAAATTTTCTCGGTAGCGTCGATGTATGTAATATTAAATACACAATTCGAAAATGCAATCGATGTTTCAAAAGGTTCAGTGGTGTAGAAAATAACTTTCTCTTTTCTCCTATAGACTGCCTACCTATTTATATCAGCAAATTCATCGTTACTAAACGTAAGCTTTCAAACAAGTCAGGCAGAGTTAAAAATGATAATAAAACTAAGCAATGTACTCTTTTGTCTATGAGATCGCTGGCGGTAGTAGTTGCAAAGCAATTAGGTTTACGAATATCTCGATTAGGTATGTTACTTTTGCAAACAAATTTGGTATATGAAGTGGCATGTTAATTACACCCATCAAGAATTACCTAGGGACTGGCTCGTCTCAATTTTACTCATTTCCAAGCCGCGTAGGTTATCTTATAAAAGTTTCGGGTAATAACATGTCAGACTCGTCACATATCAATGTCGATTTTGCAAAGTTTGTTACCCTTTTATCTCTTCTCCCGAAATACGTCACGTACGGAATTTTCCTGAATTTCCTTTTTTCCGCCAATCATTGCTCCTCGAGTAACTCGCTTATTTTCCGGGGTAAATAACGGTTTCGGTTTGTTGAGGCAGCAGTAGATTAGTTGCTTGCCACCAAAAGAAATTGAGATGGAAAGCTTTTGTTAGCCGTTTGTAAAAAGGACTAAAAAGTTAAAAATAATTTAAAAAGAACGAGTTTCAACACCATGTGAAAGTTGAAAAAGGATAAAGCGGCTTGTTTTCAATCGAAATAGAATTGCTTTGAATCTTTTAGTTTTTTAGCGAAATAACAAAGCAAGTTGATGAAGGTGAACTTTATGTGCAATTCTAGACTTGGCTAAAGCCGTCCATACAGTAAGCCACATGATACTGCTACATGTATTGGAAAGTATCGGGTTTGAAGGACATATTGTTGAACCGATGAAAAATGATCTTACATATACGTACCAATGTGTCAGAAAAGAAAATAGAGTCGGCAATTTAAACATCAGCAGGGATCAGTTTTGGTTCCAATACTTTGCAATATATACCTATCAGATCTATACTAGCAAACCACAGCTAGGAAAATTATAAATTTTATGATGACACAGCCATATATGATACGCTATGATAATTTCGTACGTAGTAAATGGTCTCTGACTGTCGCACGCGTAGGTACCACCCGGCGGATTTCTGAGGCGGGGCCAGAATATGTGCACGTAGCATGCAGACGTGTTCCCTCGCTAGAGCGCATGTGGTGTTCCTCCTTTCCCCTGTATCCCCCTTAGCTCATATCGCCCATGAATGTTTAAGCTTTAGACCTTCGTGGTGGTTCAAGCATAAAAAAATTAACACATGATTCCCGCAACCTTCTAAATTCAAATTATCATGACAGTGTCAAAAGTACGATAACGAATGGAATATGTGACGACGAAGCAGCCTCGACATTAATTTCAACGGTTGAAATTCGGTTATAATCAAACCCCGTATGCACCAGTTCTATATAACAGTATTAATTATGCGTTAATATCAAGATTATCTAAATGACTGCCTCTAATGATAGATATTAGTTTGTGAGGAGACACAGGAAAATTAATGATTGATCAAATCGATAAGTCTTAATATTTGAAGAATTTGAAGAGTGTAAGTCTAAAGGTTAAAGTGCCAAAAACAAATATTTTCAATTATCCATGTGAAAAGGGTCTATGTTTTTGCCATGCCTAGTAATATTGCAAAAGTAGTAAGTGCCAGCGATTCATTTAGGTTTTCTATTTTCTGGCGAATAAATGGCGGTCCCTGTAGGTGCCGACATACATTTTATTAATAAAGGGTCTATCTGCCAAAGCAACGAAGCAGATTTGATTTCACGACAGCGTTGTTCTGTTGTGTCATTTCCATGTTTTAACTGAAAATGGAACGATAAAGAAGGGCAAAAGGTTCAGAAAGTGTGAAAAAGGAAAAAAAAGTCTGGGTGCAACTGGCTTGGAGTACAAAACTTATCGAGGTGATGTAAAATCTGCAAAAAAGCCTAATAAGGCACATAGACCCTTTTCATAATTGCATAATGAGGCACATAGACCTTTTTACGACTTTCTGTCCCTATAGAACTTACACTCTTTATTTGGGCGTCATATCCAGCCTAAAAAATAAAAAAATATTATAACTATCACAACACCTGCTATTCTCCGATTTGTATGTACCTTTCTTTTACAAATAAATAAGGTATTTCATTCAAATGTGTATTTCGCCCATAAAGAATTACCCTACAGTCTCGCTCATCTCAAGTTTACTTATTTCATACGAACTAGTGTGGTAGTAGTATTAGTTATACGCTAAGTTTATCTAAATAATATCAATAAATAGTCGTTTGTAAGAAGACACAGAAAGATAGATAGTTGATCAAAGTGATAAGTTTTAATTATCGGATATCAAAGTCACACTAAAAACAAAAAAAATGTATCGCAGCATACATAATTATTTCTATTGGATTTATGGATGAAAAATAAGGTGTGATCCAAAAATACAGAATCAAATAACCGATTTTTTTCCGCCTTTGATTTCCATGTGTGCAAGCAGACCGGCACCGAGTTTTATTGGATTTTTTATCGTGTCTGTTTATTGACAATACCTTCCTGGAATTCTATTTCGAGTAGCAGATTACTGTTTTTTCCACTCGCAGTACTTTCCTCGGGCGCAGGATGATTAATAATATTATTTTTATTACACCATAAAGCCGCTGAAGAAAGTGCTTTGACGGCTGAGATTCTGCAGAGATATGTAAGTATGACCATGCGAGTAAATTAACTGTATCATTTTCTTTCCCAATTAATCTTTTCAGGCAGTTAGTTGATAAAATGTGCAACAATTAAAATCTTAGTATTTTACTTTTAGATAGGAAACTCCATTCCAACGGAGATTTTGAGATGTCTCCTTACAGAGATGTAGGGTGTTGAAGTTAAAGTTTCTAAATAAAAAAATGTCTTGGGATTGGAATAAGATATTGACCTAAAATTTTGAACATATAGCACTGCCTCCAAACTTACAATTTTTTTCGTGTCTGAGACTACACCAGTGGCGGGTATACAATGAAAATGGTGAACTGGCGAGCTGTCAAAGGTAAGCCTTTTTGTATACATTGAGTCATTTATAACTCAACAACTAATCATCTACACATTATACGAGGGATGTCTTTTAAGTTTCGCATATAGAAACATAGTAGGTCGCGCGGATCGAACATCAGTCTGTCTCAAGGTACAATAAAAGGTGAGACACTCGGTTTGGACGAATTGGACAAACTTAGACGATTTTTTAAAGATGTTCCATATTTTATCATGTATTTTATAGATCCTTCCAAAATAAAAAATATATATAATATACATTAGCATTCTGATGATCGTCCAGTTATCATTTTGGTATAACTGCCACTTTCACGCTAAAATATAGTACTTACCAATTTCAAGGCCACAAATGACATATTGCTATCTAGGTCCCTTCAAAACATAAATAGGATAGAAGTGTTTTTTTTTAAAAGCTCTATATGTTGGCCAGCCTGATATAATTGCAATAAAAAAAAGTGCGTCAAGTAGGTTGACTCTGCAGTACCTACGCCGCAACGCAGTCATCACTTCATAAGGGATCGGTGACGTAATATGTAATATTTTATTTAATTTCTCTACAACTTCATTCAAACTGAGATTGAAGGTTTGCATGCAAAACATCACGCTTCCTTTCCTTCGTTGGGTTATCAAGAAGCTTCTGTTTAATGACCGCTGTTCAAACAAGAAATTCTGTTTACTCGTAGCAAGGTGAAGATAACATCCCCCCAAAGTTCTGCTTTGATCGACCCCTGTTGTTGTCACAACTGCTGAAAACCAGATTGCTGAGGTTGTTTTTAACATTGTTTTTGTCGGGTGCAAACGACTTGACAAATCTAACTGCCAGACATACTCCTCTACAGGGTGTTGAAGTTTTAGGAAAACAATGGAAATTAATTAATATTTTCAGAACCGCTTCAGATACCTCACTGATATTTAGTATGTAGTGAAAGTTGATAAAGTTTCATATTTTTCAATGCAAAAACAATTTTTAGCTTTAACAGTGGCGTACGTACGGGTATTGACTTCGATGTTTTTCAAGAAACAAATGGTACGCCAATGGTTTTTGCCAAATAAAAATTATTTTTGAACTCCCCGTTCAATTTCAAACAAATGATCTCTCATGAATTGTTTTTCTTCTATGCGTCATTTTTAGTAAAAAAATGAAAACCGTTCTATTGTGCGAGAAAATTAATGTAATAATTGAAGAATGCAATTTAGCAACAAATACCTAGTTTCTCTGGGATATGTCCAACAAAAGTCATCCGTTCTCGAACTTTCTCGAAAAAGCTGGTCACGACATTTGTGTCAAAAGCGGGTCATATTGCAACAATTCCTCTTAATGAGCAAAGAACTGTTACTGCGGATTGGTACACCACCATTTGTTTGCCAAAAGTCATCACCGAGCTGCGAAAAATCAACCCCGAAAGAAGAATCATCCTCCACCAAGACAATGCAAGCTCGCACACAGCTCAAAAAACAAGGCGGTATTTAACGGAAGAAAACGTGGAATCATTGGACCATCCTCCATATAGTCCCGATCTAAGTCCTAACGATTTCTTTACTTTCCCGAAAATCTAAAACAGACTGCGTGGTCACCAGAAGAAGCAGTTTTACGCATTCAAAAATGCCGTTGTGGATCTGCCAGCAAACGAGTGGAATAAGTGCTTCGAAAATTGGTTCGAGCGCATGCAGATGTTTATTAATCTTCGTGAAGAATACTTCGAAAAACAATAAAGTCATTTAAAACTACCTACCGTGTTGTTTTATTTCCATATGCAAAACTTAAAAGACATCCCTCGTATATGTAAACCCGGTTATTATAGTTGTAAGTAGCGGTTGCTTTGTGGTACATCTGTTCTGTTGTACCCCTAACTTGTAATAAATACATCAACAATTTGAAAATAAAAACGTATTGTATATCTAAGCCTGCAATAAAGTGTGGGCCTTCGCATTTGAAAAATGTATGCCTGGGTCATTAAAAAGTTATGAATCACCATGTAGAAATATTTCCAAGTAACGAGCATGCTGTTGACTATAATTTTTGTAATTAATTTTTTCAGACACCATGCATAATAACGGAGTTATCAAACGAGCCACACTAAAAACTCACCCTGAGTGATAAACTAGAGGAATGTGAACAGGAAGTTGGGGCAGTTAGGCTTTTACATAATGGAAGTCCTGTTGTCCTAACAATGCGAGGAAAAACTTCTATGACCAATGTAATTTGAAAAGTCTACTGAGTCGTATCAGAGTTATCTCAACCAGTTTTGAGGTAGCAGAAATTCCACTTCCTAGGAATTTTCGAGAAGCACCTATATCCTGTGATTATGAACTCTGAATTGCTCTTGAATATTGGCCAGTTATCCTTTGTTGAATAGAAAAAACATTGAATCAAAATTCAAGAATCAATTTTCAACATACCTGCAATACACAGAAGACCTCTCCAAAAATGTATGGGTACCTGCACCAGATCTTGTAGATCTCAGGAGGCAGTCCTGAGGTCAGCAACAGTAGGTCAGAAATGGCTAAGCTGAACAGGTAGTAGTTGGTAGCTGTATGCATAGACTTGTTCTTCACTATAACTATGCAAGTACTGACATTTCCTAGCACTCCGGTGATGAAGATGGACACGTATAGCACTGTTACTGGCACTACTACGTAGAGAGGGTTCCGACGAGGGCCCCAGTCGATTCTGAAAATATTAAATAAAATATAAACTATGACGTTGGCGTACCACAGGCATGACGTTGCCGCAACTCTACCGCTGGCAGTTAAAGTCAATAACCCAGAATTCCAAAAGCAGTACCTTCATCACTTACAACACATATCTCCTTGTAATTCACATTATTTAAATAAACTGAAAATATAACGCACGATCTCAAACGAAGCTACGCCGATTGCAAACCGAAAACAAGACATGATACGACATACAGAGTGGAAAGCATGCGGAAAAATATGTCGCAACAAACACTTGGTTTGGGGGTTCCCTTTCATTGGTTGATTCGGGAACGTCAACTGAAGAAGGTCAAAACTTCGTCTAGTCTAGCGTCAGCGATATAAACGAACGTTGCGGACTTCCTGTTTATAAACAGTTTAACGTCAAGCGCATAATTGAAGTTCTACGTTACGACAACGGTATGGCAGTAAAAATAGAAGCTTTCAAATTTTTCAACTAATTTCGGTAAAAACTCTGCTTTGGTTAGGATGCAAATCCAGTGCAATTTGCTTAGTCAGGAAATCGACTTGTTATCGAGCAATGTTAATATATCGATCGACTAAAATGTTAGGAAAATCATGATTAGGACTGTATAAAGAATATGGTTATATTATTGATATTACTGTTATATATTGTTATTAGTGCTTTACTTTCAACATTAGATTACGAGGGATGTCTTTTAAGTTTTGCAAATAGAAACATAGTAGGTCGCGCGGATCGAACGTCAGTAATGAATCTTAACCTCACCCTTTAGAAAACTTAAATTCAAAGTTTTACAACAATACGTGCAGTGTTCTCACTACAGTGAATTTTTAAGTGTCACCAAGTCCTTAGAAAAATTATCTAGGATAAGGGTGGATGGTTCGATTATGCGTACTACCTCTAAGAATGAACTGTTATCTAAGATATAGAGGTTCAGATGTAAGCATTAATTTGTGGATGAAAATAAGATAATTAAACTTTACTAAATAGGGCGTTTTCAACCATCATAAAGAAGTAAACTTATTTGTGATATGATCAAATCGCCTCTTGCCTTGCGCAACTGTTCCCAACAACCTGCAGTCTGTTCTTAGCTATGCCATCGAGGCTAGGGTAAAATAAAATATTACAATAAGTATGAACTGTTATTGTGACTCGCAGAGTTTTGTCCTCAATTTGATCTCAGCGTATAAAAAATTTGTTTTTTTCTGTACAAATCTTTACCGATGATAATGGTACGCCACCCTCCCTCCTAGGCTCAGAGCAAAATTCGTTGCATTGGACTTTGATGCATTTATTTAAGGCAAGATTGTGTGATTTTGAAAATTAACAAACCCTTTTGATACCAAAGTTTAATTTTTTTTAGCATCGTAGATATTATCTATATCAAAGTAGTGAAGTTGCTGCGTAGGATTGTATCTCTGAGTTTTTCATAATTCTTGGCAAGTCAGCAATATATAAAAAAAGTAACCGCCCAAAGACCGATCCTTGACGTATAATTTTCTGAAAATTTGATATTTTGGATATGCTTAAAGAAACACGTTGAATGTGATTTTCTAGGTAACTTTTGGAAAAACGTTTCGTCTTTTGCCCTCCAGCATCAACTTTATTTTTTCTAAAGGGGGTCATGTTGAATTTTTACACAGATAAATAGAGTTTTTAATTCTGATTCAAAAAATATATAATTAACATTGCCAAATCTTAGATATTAAAAAAACAGAATTTTCTAGGTAAGCCTAATACCATGATTCCATTGATGATTCCGTCAGTGACAGTTGACTTCTACGTGACTTAATTCATCAACAATTACTGAGTTCAGGCTACTCAGTAAATAATTATCACATTCCATGGTAAGTACTGACAGGCCAGAGTATATCGTCTGCCTATTTGTTCTCGAAATCACAGATAAATCCCATTCTTGCCTTGAACGCTGAATCTACTTTACACATTATTTGCATAATAATGTTTGCCTTAAAGTTATAACTAGACAGCAAAAAGTGGAAAGTTCATAACGGTATCTTGTTATCTTGTAGCACTGTTTGTGATCCCAACCTTTGCCTTCTAGATTTAATGTATGGGCTGCTCCAAAGTTTTTTCCTTATGATATACATACGATTTTCTAATTACGCAATGAAAGTTAAGGTACGGTAAACAGTTATAAAAGCTGTTTCATCTTATCTCAAGAACTTTCTTAAAAAAGTTACTTCAACTCTCGGCATTTTCATCCTGAAAAGTCTACACTGGAACATGTAGGAAACTTTTACTCTGAATAAACTTCTATTCTCTTTGCTTGGCTTTTGATTTTTTTGTCTAGTTTGTCTAATCGACTTAATTAGTACATTTATATATTCATTTTGTGTCATACGAGTCACAAACTCTTTCAATACGAAAGATGCAAATATTACCTTCATAGATATGTTTGAGCAGTAGAGGCCCGTGGCAAAATAAAACAGGTGTTCTGCAATTCCGAACTTACCTATTTTTTATACGTCAGTTCGATCCTGCGCTCCTTCTTGGCAGCAAATTCCCACCTTCCCGTTGAAATTTTCCATGGTCGAAATAAATTTCTTTTCAATGGACAGCATCGACAACGCTGTAAGGCGATCCTAGGTCATAGTATTATGAAGAAAAGTCTTGATTCTTTTCAATGTTGAGAAATTTCGCTAAGCCTGTGATGTTTACATAAGAGTTGTAACAATAATTTCTAACAGCTTTTTTGTTTCTTTTAGTATTTCCTCCAAACTATTTTGTCTCAAAAATTTCAAAAGAGACAGAATTACATGTAAATCTCGGCAATCATTCAGTGCATAAATAACAGACAACTCTGTCTTTAAACGACTTTTTTCTAATTCGGGAAAAGCCAAGCAGGTAGTTTCCAACTTGTCATCAGGAAACTTATCACAGTATTCTCCAAAGTGTTCGGGGACAGAAAGGGATGCGGCTACCAGATGATCTTTGAATTGAAATTTGTCATTTGCAGAATTCACTATATTGTCGCATACTTCTAAAGCGGCAACCCGGAGATCGTGACTGCTATTATTACGTCGTCTCCTTTTGTTGCCTTGGGGTTCAGTGCAAATACTTTTGGATTCATTTATTATGTCATCAATTTTATTTCTCAAATCGACAATACACTTTTTAAAATTATCGATAGCCGTTTTAACTTGCGCTGGCTCGGTTTTTCTCTTCTGCAGCTGGTTGAAAAAGATGTCGACGTGAGGCATGACATGATGAAAAAATGTCAACCAAAACACGAAAACAGAATCGTTTAACATACGGCGAATACCGCAAGCTGCCTTGCAAACGGTTTCATTGGTGAAATTTTCTTCGATTTCTTCCATGCATTCAATGAGGGATTCTCCGTTCTCAAACACTACATTTATTGTTCGAATATTAAAATTCCATCGAGTTGTTGCTCCTTGGGGAATTTTTTCCCACAATTCTGTTCAGTACCTCTACGCGTTGAGGAGAATTATTAAAAAATCCCGGAATATCTTTCAAATCCCCAAAGAGCACCCGAACTTGAGCATTTGCGTAAGCAGCTTGGGACATAATCAGGTGTAACTGATGCGCATAGCAATGCACATAGTGAGTAAATGGATATCTTTGTTTAATTTTTGCCTGTACTCCAGCATTATGTCCGCTCATTACCGCGGCTCCATGATAGCTTTGTGAAATCAGTTTGTTACGGAAATTTCCTATTGATGGATCTACGAAGCTCAAAATATGTCTTGTGAGAGTATCAGCGTCACATTTTTCGGGATTCATATAATTCCAGAAACGTTCTACTGGTTCGCCGTTAAATACGTATCTAAAAATTGTTACCAGTTGGGTTTTCCCCGAAATGTCCGTTGTTTCATCTGCTATTATCGCCAAATATGAGGCTCTGTTAAATTGTTTCTGTAATCAGTAGATCGTTTTGTATTTCTTTCGAAGTTTCTTTAAATATTGAAGCATTTTTTATGTGTTCGCTTGAGGTTGTATCAAGCTCAGCAGAAAAATTAATCAGTCCATGAAATATTTCCAGGTTTTGGCAGCTCTCGGTTTCGTCGTGTCCCCGTAGCGCCAATTCAAATGCTCCGCAAAATTTTATACCGAGCACCGACCGACCAATCAGATATCGTACTTCGCATTAGATCTGTACGGATCTGTATAACCTACAGCACATGCTTAAATAGCGCATTTGATTTTGTAGAGAGAGACAAAAGCAAGCGCGTGCGGCTTGTGTAGAAGTAGTGCGCAGACCCTTTTCAAGTGGCCCAAGAATAATGTTACGCTGCGGTCGCGACGAAAAATGATCAAATTACTACTGCTTTTTTTCTGTTAAGACAAAAGTTTTGGCAGTTCTGCAGCTCTGCAGAACTTAAGGGCCAGCCGCCCCTGTGCTTGAGTAAACAGTTTAAAAATAAATGATTGGAAGAAATTGTCAGTGCGATATTTGGACTTAATCTAACTATAATTTTAATCTAGGAATAAAAACATACTCGAAATGGAACGTACTTTAGAGGGGACTAATTTTCATATTTTGTTAAAAAAACTGGCCTTAATATGACGTCGATTATTCTCATCACTGGGACCGTCAATTTGCAAATAAAAATTGATACAAATTGGAAGAAACATGAATGACATGGTTTGAAGTTGATCGCATTTTTCCCTTTTGAGACTGGTTTATATTTTTGCTTATCATGGAAACGAAAAGGTATTATCCATCAAATGTTTTAACGAGTAGTTATACTTTTTTTTTCAAGTTTGATAGCCGAGGGCCCTTCCAGAAGACCTTGGGTATGAAGAGCACTAAAGGTTGAAGTAGATATTTTAAATAATTTTTTTCTGTAAATAAACACTCAGTTTGGGATAAAATAGAATAAGCATTTTACATTGTGACAAATTTTATTATAAACTCAGAGGCTAAAATCTAGAAACTAAGTGCAAAATGTTTTATGA